CGGGCGTCCCTGCGAGTCCCGGCGGCGACCTGGCCGCGGGTCCCGAGTTCTCGCCTCGGTCCCGAAGTTCGGACTCTGGAGGTGTGGCCCGTGAGAGCGGCCTGCAGCTCTGGCAGCGCGGGCTGGGGAGCGGAGGCGGCTGGAAGCCGGCGACACCGCAGATCCTCCCCGAGGCGGGCGGAGCGGGGCGCGGCGGCTCACCGGGGCGGGGGCGGGCCGCCCAGGCGCCACGCCCGGGGCACGCTCTCGTGTCCAGTTGAAACGCGGGAGGCCAGACGTGGGGGCTCGTCTCGGGCGGTAGAGCGCCCGCCGAGAAACAACTACTCAGGTTCCTACCACGGTCTCAGACCAAAACAAAACGAAAGCCCTGGGTCCGAGCCTCAGCTAAAAAACCACCAGGGGAAGATCTTCACTGCAGGCCTGAGACACGAGGCACACCGCTCTGAGCTGGAGCGCCGGCGGCCGGCCCTGGCTGCTCTGGGCTCCGGGCCGCCGGTGGAGAGCCGGGCTTGGGATGGGAGCCAGCGCCAGGACGTTCTCTCTACACCACCTTCTGCCACAATCTCCGTCCCAAAGAACTGCGCTCACGGCCCGCGCCGCCTCGGGGCCACCTTTATAACAGCAGCTGAACAATTGGTGATTCCCACTTCCAGAACAGCAAGCATTTCAAAGGAAAGGGCCTGGGGGCGTGGCCGAGAGGCGGGGCCACCTGAAGAGGCGGGGTCCAGAGCTGGGGCGAGGCCCAAGGTTGGGGGCGTGTCCGAGCGCAGGGCGTGGCTCGTGGTCCACCTGTAGAGGCGTGGCCCACATTGGGGGCGTGGCCCACCTGTAGAGGCGTGGCCCACATTGGGGGCGTGGCCCACCTGTAGAGGCGTGGCCCGCATTGGGGCGTGGCCCACATGAAGAGGCGTGGCCCACATTGGGGGCGTGGCCCACCTGTAGAGGCGTGGCCCAGCGGTGGGAGGACACTTGCCTAGCATGTGAGGCCCTGGGTTTCACCTCCAACACAACAAAGTAACTAAACGAATGATACCCCGTTTTAAAAGTGGCCAGGCTGCTGGGCGCCGGTGGCTCACGCCTGCAGCCCCAGCTACAGGAGGCTGAGCTCTGAGGACCATAGTTCCAAGCCAGCCCGACATTCCTGGCAGGAAAGTCCGTGCGTGAGACTTTTATGTCCAATTAGCCACCAAAAAGCTGGAAAGTGTTAAAGTGCCAGCTTTGGACACAAAGGCTTAGGGACAGTGGCCTGGCCCCGAGTTCAATCCCCAACACTGGAACACGCACACACACCCAGAGTGCATGGCTATGAGTTGATTTACAAGCAGAAGAAATAAAACATTCTTTTTTCGTGCATTTTACTTTTATTTTATAAAAACATGTAAGGAGTTAAAATTACAGCTTACACCTGTAATCCTAGCTACTCAGAGGCTGAAATCATGCAGCCAATTGCAGTTCCAGGCCTGCCCGGGCGAAAGTGGATGAGAATTCAGATCTCAATCAATTAGAAGCTTTAGAAGCTGAATATCTAAGTAGGGAGCTTAAAAAAAAAAAAAAGGAAAGAAAAATCTTTCAGACCAAGTGAGAAATTCCTTCCTCAAACCTTGTCACGACGTCAGCCCCTGGGTGCTCTGCTGTCTGAGTTGAGTGGTGGCTCACCGCAGTCATCCTACCTACTCAGCTAGCTACAAACAAAGCTGAGACGTGAGGATCACAGTTCAAAGCCAGCCCGGGCAGGAAAGTCCGTGAGCCTCTTATCTCCAGTAAACCACCAGAAAATGAAGTGTCACTGTGGCTCAAGTGGTAGAACGCTTGCCTTGAGCTAAAGAGCTGAGGGACAGCGCCCAGGCCCAGAGGTCAAGCCCCACGACCAACAAAATAAATAAATAACATAAAGAGTAATAAATAATGCCAGGCACCAGTGGCTCATGCATCTCATCCTAGCAACTCAAGGGGCGGAGATCTGAGGACGGTGGTTCAAAGCCAGCTGGGGCAGATAAATCCACGCAGTCTTACCTCCAATTAACCAGCAAAAAGCCACACCTGGAGGTGTGGCTCAAGTGGTAGTGCACTAGCCTTGAGAAGAAAGGCCAAACAAGAGCACAAGGCCTTGAGTTCAAGGCCCAGTTCAGGCACAAAAACAAATAGGGTGTGCTGGCAGAAGTCTCTTTGTCAGTTTGTGGAAATGGTAACTAGGAATGGTCCCGTCCTGACTAGCCAAGACAAAAAGCAAGACCTACTGGAGGCATACTGGAAACAGAACTGGTGGCATAGCTCAAGTGGTAGAGCACCTGCACGGCAAATGCAGGTCCCCATTCAAACCAGCATTGCCAATAGCAGAACGCCATGTTTGCACCAGGCCCGGCCTGCGGCTTCGGGCGGCTTCGGGCGGGTGCAGGCCGCGGGTGGGTGTCTTGGTGGGCGGCCCGGCGGCCATCACCCTACCCAGAAGCATGGCGGCATTTTTTGCAAAGAAAACCAGACAAAAGACTACATAGAGATCAGCTTTTAAAAGTGGGTGGAGGCCAAAGCGGGCCTCGCCGCTGCCTCCCCGCGGGCGGGCGGGCAGCGGCTAGAGGCCGTCGGGCCTGGGGAACTGGCTGAAGTGGCCGTGCCGCCCCGGGAACTTGCCGGACAGCATCTCCTGCTCGTCCTCCTCCCGCGCCTGCTTCAGCTCCTCCTTGGCCTGGATGGCGTCCATCTCTCTCTCTGGACCCTGGAGGAAGAAGCCAAGGCAGGTGTATGCTCACAGGGGATCGAGGGGGTGTCCGCAGTCAATCTGGGGCTGGGAAGGTGGCTCAGTGGTGGAGCGCTCGCCTGGCATGCATGAGGCCCTGGGTTCGAGTCCTCAGCACCACATAAGCAAAAAAAAAAAGCCTGTGGTTCAAGTGGTAGAGCGGTAGCCTTGAGCAAAAAGCAGCTCTGGGGCAGTGCCCAGGCCGTGAGTTCAAGCCTCAGGACTGGCCAAAAAAAAAAAACCAAAAACTGCCTCTATCTTCTAGAAGCTTCCATACTAACCTGAGGTAAACTGAATATGTGGCCTTAAAGATTAGAAGACCCTAATCCATAGGCTGGAAGTCTGGACATGGAATTTCTCACCTAGTCTGAAAGATTTTTCTTTCCCATTTTTTTTTAAGTTCCCTACTTAGATATTCAGCTTCTAATTGATTGAAATCTGAATTCTCATCCACTTTCGCCCGGGCAGGACTGGAACTGCAATTGGCTGCATGATTTTCCCTCTGTGGGGAAAAGTCCTGGCAAGCTGGGCGCCAGTGGCCCTAGCTCTTCAGGAGGCTGAGATCTGAGGATCACAGTCTGAGGCCAGCCCAGGCAGAAAAGCCCCTGCGAGACTTCTCTCCAAGTAATCACTCAAAACCACACTGTTATCATTATTCTACTTTACTATTAACTATTATTGTTAATCTATTATTGTTAAAGCTATTATTGTTAATATTGTTAACAAATGAGAACTTTGTAAGGCAGGAAAAAGCCCAGCATCTGGAAGGCTGGGTGGGACGGTGCCCCGGCTTCTCCCATGATAACATACTCATCTCTCCTGAAATAATAAGGAGACTACAGTCCAAAAGTGCCCAGAACGGCTTCACTCAGGAGCGCCCGGCCGCGTGCACAGCGGCGGGCACGCGCCCTCTGCAAGTGCTGCTGCGTGCCCGAAAATAGGAAGGAATCTCAAAGAGGAAATGCTGGTGCTTCCTGCTGAGGTTTAAATGAGTAACCCCCCCCCTCCCAGGCCAGTGAGCAACAGGCTGAACTCCAGCAAGAGGCTCCTGAAAGGCGCTGGGACCTTCCAGGGGCCAGCCTCGTGGGGCACCAGTGGCCACACCTGAACTCTCAGCTACAGGAGGCTGACATCTGAGGGTCACAGTTCAAAGTCAACCTGGGCAGGAGAGTCTGTGAGATCATTTTTTGTTTTTTGGTCGGACATGGGTCTTGAACTCTGGGCCTGGGCGCTGTCCCTCAGCTCTTCAGCTCAAGGCTAGTGCTCTACCACTTGAGCCACAGCGCCACTTCCACCTTTTTTTTCTGCTTATGTGGTGCTGAGGAATCGAACCCAGGGCCTCAAGCATGCAAGGCAAGCGCTCTACCACTGAGCCACCTTCCCAGCCCCCATGAGATTCTTATCCCCAACAAACCACCAGAAAATTGGAGATGTCACTGTGGCTGGAAGAGGCAGAGCACGAGCCTTTGAGCCAAAGAGCTCAGGGACAGAGCCCAGGCCCTGAGTTCTAGGCCCAGGACCAACAAAAAGGAAAAGTAAATGAGGCGGGACCTGGCCAGAGGAGATTGGGGGCGTGGCCTCCAGGAACTCCACCTCTCTCTCCCTCTGCTTGGCCACATTCCCCCATGACAGGGCCCAGAGGCGGAAGCCTCCACGTGGCGACCTGTTCCCCTGTTCTTATGGGGGGCCGGTGTGAAGGCCAGGTGGGGGGGTGACATGGGCCTACCTTGGTCTCACCCCAGGTGGCCTTGCCGAACTTCACCGCATAGTCTTCATCGTCGGTGATCAGGAAGTTATCAAAGATGGTTCCAGATCTCACCTGCAGGGAAGGGTGGGCACTCGGTGCGGCGCTCCGTGCAGGGCGTGGGCATGGCCTTGCTGCACACAGCGGGGGGCTGCGGTCCTGTCATGCTCACCTCCGTGGCTGGGGTGGTGGTTGACTGTGTTTGGCTCGGGGTGGGGCCAGCGGTCGGCGCTCCTTGGGCAGCAGTGGGACTGAAGCCCCTGGTTAGGCCCCAGCACCGAGTCAAACACGGGAGTGAGATAGCGCCAGTGCACCAGGTGCAGGTGCGCACACCTGGAATCCCAGCTGAGCTGTAAGGATCATGATTTGGAACCAGGCCAGAAAGTCCCCAATTAAACAGCAAAGAGCCACAGGGGGAGCTCTGGCTCTGGTGGTGAAGCGCCAGCTTTGAGCAAAATACCTCACGGACAACACCAAGGTCCTAAGTTTAAGTCCAGGATCAAGACCAACACCAACAAAAAAAGCAGTTATGCTGGGTGCCGGTGGCTCATGCTTGTCATCCCAGCTACTCAAGAGATCTAAGCATCACGGTTCAAAGCCAGGCTGGGCAGGAAAGTCCATGATACCCTTATCTCCCATTAACCACCAGAAAACCAGAAGTGGCGCTGTGGCTCAAGTGGTAGAGCACTAGCCTTGAGCTGAAGAGCTGAGGGACAGCGCCCAGGC